GGTTAGGAAAAGATCAGCAAAACTAGAGTTTTTAAATGTTTTTATAGCAGTGGTTTTTAAATATTCTACTTGTTGATGTTTTATAGGAAAAATGATTTTGTATATTGTTTTTACAGCTAGGAAATTTGTTAAACTATCTTTTTAATTCCAATAATTTCTCTATATTTTTCGATTTTATATATACATAATGATAACATCAGCAAATGACAGCTGTTTCTTCCATTCCAATCCAAATATCTTTATATAAATATATTACACATATATATTCAGCCTTACTGTGTTGAAAAACATTTCTAGTGTACAGCTGAATAGTGACAAATATAATGGTGAAAGTGGACATCGCGGTCTTCTTCCTGATTCCAAAGGAAAACTTCCAATATTTCAACAAATAGATTTACCAAAGACTTTATGCTCTGCCACAGGGGTCAGCAAACCATAGCCTGTGGGCCAAAGTGGGACCACTGCCTATTTTTGTACAGTCTGGAAAGGTAAGAATGGTTTTTACATTTTTAAAGAGTTGGGAAAAAAATTAAAAAGACAACATTTTGAGATATGAAAGAATTCTAGGAAATTCAAATTTCAGTGTCTATAAATCAAGTTTCATGGAAACACGACCACACTTTTTGTTTACATGGCTGCTTTCATACTACAGAGGCAGCAGAGTGGAGTTGTTGCAAAAGGAACAGCAGATGGTATGTGATGCTCACATCACTTTGCACTGCTCCCTCCATGCAGTACAAATTGCAGTGACAGAGTTACAAATTGATAGAATTTCAAGTGCAAGGTATATTAATCACATAAACCAATGTGTCAAAACAAGAAGAAAAAGAGAAAAGTGAACTTCAAAGGTTGCATTTTGAACGCTCAGTGGGGCATGAATTATACCCTTATTGATTTAGATGGTATAGCACTGTATGATGTAACGACACTATAGCTGCTCTAAAAAAATACAAATAGAGATTAACATTATACTGGACTAAGCACTCATCACAGTATCTCTGACTCAGAGGAAAGCAATGATTAGAAAAAGTAGAATTTAAAAACTGAAATGAAATGTCAACAAAAGTAAGTTTCTGAGTGGCTTATTTGTTAGCCAAACAAGGAAAGTAAGCTTCTGAGTGGCTTATTTGTTAACCAAACAAGGAGAGCTGTTTCTTGGTAATGGATCAACTGTATCATTTTAAATTGCAGTGGCTAAAGAAATTTGTCCAGAGAAAATAAATTTAAGATTATTAGCTGTTAGGTCAGAAGAGTTTCTCAGAGTTGAGGGTGGTGGAAAAAGCAGCAACAGTTAATTAAAAAACAAGACAAATAATGTTGCATGCTTTCCCTGAATTCTGATGAGTCAACAGATGTTAACATTACTACTCAGTTGTTTATATGAAAGGTCAATGCCAAGTTTGAAGCGATGAGAAATTAGTTTCTGTGGGTAGTTGGTGTGGAACAATTAAAGGCTAGAATGTTTTCAAAGATGTAAGTGAAAAAGAACTAAACCAATACAATGTAAGGTGACATCAGACGGTGCTGAAAAACACAGATGGAAAAAAATAGCCGTGCCAAACTTACAAAGCCTATAAAAATGTAAGGTTTTGTTTAAAAAGCCTATGATTATTCATTGTTTTATTTTTTTAAAGTGTATTTATTTGAGATTGAGAGAGAGAGAGAGAGAGAGAGAGAGAGAATCCCAAACAGGCTCTGTGCTGTGAGTGCAGAGCTGGAGGCGGGGCTTGATCCCAGGTCATGAGATCACCACTGGAGCCAAAAACCAAGAGTCAGATGCCCCACCGAGCAAGGTGGGCCACCTAGGGGCCCCTCACTGCATTATTCTTTTTTTTTTTTTTTTTTTTAATGTTTTTAAGATAATCTTCCCTTTTAATTCAGAATCAGGAAAAAGGTGTCTTAAATGCTTTATGTAAACTAAGCAACAGACGAACTCTTGCTATTATGCTAATACAATACACAACTAGCTGTCATGGTATTAACAGTAATATCTACTTTTGTAAATCACAAAAGTCAAAGGTAATGCATTAAGTACATTTAATCAAAAGTTTTAATTGGAAATTAGATATAAGCAACTAAGATAAAAGTTGATTTATAGCCTGCCAGATTTCCCTTAATCTATATGAAGTCTAAGCACTCATTAATTATTCTACACTGCCTGGAAGGCCTAGAAGTTTCATAAATCAAACTTTATTGTGATACCTAAAGATGTTTCCATTTTACAAATTAACTAAAATGGTATAAAATTTATTAATAAACAAAAACACCATCAACCACTGCTTCCACATGTCTTTTCTAATTAAGATGTGTGAAATATCAAAACTAGAAAACCATATTGCCACTGAGAAGAGTAGTAAGTTGAGTTTTAAAGTCTTTCTTTTTTGGAGCTTTTTTAAAAGTTGAAATAATCATTATGTTAAACCTAAAATTCCAGCTAAAGCATTAATTTCAGCTAGAATAAAAATGCTATGAATAGACATTTATGAATAGATACTGAAAGCGTGGGGAATAACAAAGCAGAATTCATGGTTACCATATTTACACATACTCTTTGTTGTGTTTCAGTGCCACATGATCTGATTCAAAGTAATAAACATCAGGATCATCATCTTCTTCTTCTGTATTGTGTGGATTGGCACTCTCTTTGGCAGATGGCAAATGTCCAATATTAATTCTTGCCTCTGAGGGTGGCTTACTTAGTCCTTCACTCCCATAATTTTCAGAGTCACAATACATTCCTTTTTCATTCTGAGAAATTTCATCAGGATTTGTGGGAGATTCACTTCTATTATCACTAACAGTTGCATTTGTTTCACTGGGACTAAGATTATTCTCTTCAAATTGTCCATTTTCTCTGCAAGGAGAATTGTTTTTAGTAGGACTACCTCTGGTAGGGGCTGCCCGTCGTGGTGAAGTTCTCAGAGTATATCGATGTTCTTGAGGTTCTGATAAAGACATCATTTGACTTGAAACACAGTCTAGAACAGAAGATGATTCTGGTTCTCCAGAGACTGGCATACTCTCAAGACTTGCGTCCAGGGCGTTACTGGTGTTCTCATTACACTGCTCTTTTGAGGCACTGCTATCTCCCACCACATCTACTTCCTCCTCAGAATCCCTTAAGGATGACTGAATTTCAGAAAAGGGGCCTGTAGCTGGCTCAGTAGTCAGCTGATTAACATGTTCCACAGGCAGGCAGGCAGTTAGTATTTTGTGGTCCTCCAACTTGACCTGCACTTCTGAATTTGTGCAAGGCACGTTATGGTCTATATAACTGTCGTCCTTCCTACTATCAAGGAACATTGAAGTGTGGGTATCCAAATCCCCATTTTCAGCTACTGACTTTTCCTGCAATACATACGAACCAGTGCTATTTTGTTTAGTGTTCCCGTCAGGCTGACAGTCGTCATAGTTTATAACAGCTGAATCACTGTCATCAACACCATTGACAGCCAAATAGCCTGTGATTTCTTCAACTACTGCGGAATTAAGTGGCCCTTCCTCACTGACATTCACCTTTTTAATTTCCCTTTTCTCACAATCATCCAGTATAAGACATCGACAAGCTCGTTTAGTCCCTTGAAAATCTGCATCATTGTCCACTACTGTATTCCTCTCTTCTACCGACTCCTTGTCTGATTTTATAGGTGAATCTTCTTCTGAACTGTTTGGTGCTTCAGATCTAAGACAACGCTTAATTCTTTTTAAAACTGGTGAAACAGGTTCTGTTTGCCTTCTCTCACAATTTTCTACAGCCTGCCTTTCTACGTTATCTTTTTCTGAAGAAGAAAGTCCTCTTTTCCTAGGGCTTACCCATGATTCTCGAGTACTTTGCTGTTTTAAATCAGCAGTTCTTTCATTATTATTTCCTTTCTGAATTTGCACAGGCTCTGGTCTCTTCTTTGGTGATCTTGATCGTACTTGAGAATGAGAAGAGATTTCTTCAGGGTGAGCAATGCTACGATTCCTTAAAGTTCTACCACAAAAAGATTCATCCAAGCCGTTTAACCCCACTGTTGATCTTGTAACACGAGTAGATCGGGAAGCAGCCATACTATGGCAAGTCCCTACAATACGGTCATCATGATCCACTCATTGGGAAACCTGTACAACCAAAGATCTATCATTGTGGAAATATTATCTTTTCCTTATATCCTGAAGGAGTTGGAGCTATGATCTAGAATAGAGCTTAAGCATCAGGGTTTCAGACTCTCAGCTTCAGCCATGGAGAATACTAGAACCTCCTAAATTCCTTTCTTTTTAAAAGTGTTTTTCTTCTAGTATTTGATTCCCAAGGGTCTGTATTTATCTGTCATCACTGTTAATGCCCATGTTACACTGAGACTTCAGGTATTAATTATTTATTTGGATGTACTAGCACAACGTGATATCTTCCGCGCGGGGCAGGGCGCCGCGGGCCACTCGGGAAGGCGCCGCCGCCGTGGCCGCTCTCTGCCGCTGCCACGGCACTTGCGCTGGTGGACGCCGCAGGAAGCTCGACAGAGGCGCCGCGGCGCTTCCAGGTGGGTCCCCGCCTCCCGCTCCTCCCTCACTGCATTATTCTTTAGCAAGTATTTTGCAAACAAAAAAACCTGAATCATGTTTTTTGAACCAATAGTCCTGAAGTTTTGTCAGGAACAGAAGCCCAAAATCCTGACTTGCTATACTGCACAGCAGTTAATGGCTTAATTAACAGTGGTAAAGTATTATTATGTTATTTTGATCTCAGAGTCTAGAATGAAATTTTGCAGAACCAGAACTGCCCTTAATTCCTATTATAAAAACTGAACAGTTTGGAAATTAGCTTTCACTGAAGATCTGATGCTGTTTCTTAATGAATTCAATCTAAAGTTACAGTGTAAAAGCAGCAATTATATGCAAAATTTATACCATGGTAAAGTTATTTGGACAGTAACTAATGTTATTTGAATAACATCATCAAGCAGCTTTATACTGCTCTTCCTGTGCTATCAAAACTTGAAACAAAATCTTCGTTCCCAAACAAGGGATATTCTTTTCAGAGTTGTTTCAGCAGTATGCTGGCCAATGCTCCATGGGCGTGCCTTGAGGTTTTGTTTTGTTTTCTTTTCTTTTCTTAAATGTATTTGCTTAAATTCAAGTTAGTTAATATACAGTGTAGTATTGGTTTCAGTAGAACCTAGTGATTCATCCCTTACATATGACACCCAGTGCTCATCCCAACAAGTGCCCTCCTTAATGCCCATCGCCCATTTAACCCATCCCCCTACCCACCTCCACTCTAGCAACCCTCAGTTTGTTCTCTGTATTTATGAATCTCTTGTGGTTTGCCTCCCTCTCTGTCTTTATTTTTCCTTTCCTACCTATATGTTCATTTGTGTTGTTTCTTAAATTCCGTAAATGAGTAAAATCATATGGTATCTGTCTTTCTCGGAATGACTTATTTCACTTAGCATAATACACTCTAGTTCCATCCACGTCATTGCAAATGGCAAGAATTCATTCTTTTTGAATGGGCTCTGGGTCTTGACATCTGCCCCCATCTCCTAGGAGAAAGCCACAAACAAAGCTCAAGTTCAGGCAAAGGAAGAAAAATGCCCTCAAAGCAAAGTGGCATTGGCCTGCTTGTGCTCCTAAATTCCCATTTTCTTTCACATCTGGCTAGTTCCTTAATATCTTGACTATTCCTTGAAGATTTTAATTTTAACCAACATTTTTAGGTGTTTTCAATGCAAGAGTTCCTTCCCAACAACTTCCCCACCAAAACAGAAACTGAAGACTGAGCAATTACTTTTAAAGGACAAGCTGTCTTTTTTTTCCAACAGCTATGCAACAACTGGTAATAGCAGCTCTCCTAAAATGAATTATAAGATAGTTCCTAGCAAAGCACATGGGTAAGTGTAGTCCTACACTAAATTCCCAGGTGGACACAGAACTATGGCATCTCCCATCCACAGAGAACTGAGCAACACAATGACAGTAAAAAGCATAATGGATTAACACTGTTATCTGGAAAGATTAGGTTGCATATTCCACTTTGTTTCTTATACTGAAGTAAATTTTGCACAGGTTAGGAGTTAAACATACAAAATAAAGTCATAATGTACAGAAGCATATACCAAAAACTTTAACTTTGTAGATTTCTCTATGGTAGAAAACTCAGAAATCATAGAAGAAAATATTGTTCAGGTCATAAAAATAACAAGAAAACTTTTGTGTGGCAAAAAACAACCTAAGCAAAGTAAAAAGCAAGTAACAAATTGGTGAGAATTATTTTCAACTTCCATCAGAAAGAGTTAATATCTGTAACATATTTTTAAAAAACTGCTAAAAATAAAGAAGGAAATCATCTACAATCCTATAAAAAATGACAAGAAATGTGAATAGATTATACAAAAGATTCCAGGGAACCAACTATGTTTCAAACTAGTAAATGGGTTAAACACTTTCCTGTTTTCCTGTACAAATTATACCCAAGATAACCAAATAGTTGATAAGGAGAAATTCTTTTTATGGCAATGTAGCTAACTAATGAATATGAGTGATGTAGTTAAAATACCACTATATGAAAACTTTTTTTTAAAAATAGTTTATGGTCAAGTTGGTTTCCATATAACACCCAGTGCTTAACCCAGCAAGTGCCCTCCTCCATGCCCATCACCCCCTTTTCCCTCCCCCCACCCCATCTGCCCTCAGTTTTTTCTTGGTATTCAAGAGTCTCTCATGGTTTACCTCCCTCCCTCTCCCCCACTATTTTTCCCCTTTTTCTCCCCCATGGTCCTCCGTTAAGTTCCTCCTAATCCTCCTATACGTGCAAACATATGGTAGCTGTCCTTCTCTGCCTGACTTATTTCGCTCAGCATAATACCCTCAAGGTTCCATCCATGTTGCTACACATGGCCAGATTTCATTCTTTCTCATTGCCATGGAGTATTCCATTGTATAGATAAACCATATCTTCTTGATCCATTATCCATTGATGGACACTTAGGCTCTTTCCATGTTTTGGCTACTGTTGAGAGTGCTGCTATGAATACTGGGGTACATGTGCCCCTGTGCATCAGCACTCCTGTATCCCTTGGGTAGATTTCTAGCAGTGCTATTGCTGGGTCCTAGGGGAGTTCTATTGTTAATTATTTGAGGAATCTCCACACTGTTTTCCAGAGGGGCTGCAACAGTTTGCATTCCCACCAACAGTGTAGGAGGGTGCCCGTTTCTCCACATCCTCGCAGCATCTAGAGTTCTCTGATTTGCTCATTTTAGCCACTCTGACTGGTGTGAGGTGCTATCTCAGTGTGGTTTTGATTTGTATTTCCCTGATGAGGAGGAACGCTGAGCATCGTTTCATGTGTCTGTTGGCCATCTGGATGTCCTCTTTGGAGAAGTGTCTGTTCATGTCTTCTGCCCATTAAAATACCACTATATGAAACTCTTAATAAAAGATCTAGGTCACGGGCTCTCAACAGGTGCAATACTGCCCCAAAGGGACTAAAAATTACTTATTTGTTTCCAGTTTTTATTTAAATTCTGGTTAGTTAACATATAGTGTAATATTGGTTTCAGGGGTAGAATTTAGTAATTCTTCACTTACATATAACACCAAGTGCTTTCACAAGTGCCCTGCTTTGTGCCCATCACCCATTTAGCCCATCCCCTGTCCACCTCCCCTCCAGCAACCCTGTTTGTTCTTTATAGTTAAGAGTCTCTTAGGGTTTGCCTCCCTCTTTTTCCCTTCTTTCCTCCTTCCCCTATGTTCATCTGTTTTGTTTCTAAAATTCCACATGAATGAAATTATAATATGGTATTTGTCTTTCTCTGACTTGTTTTGCTTAGCACAAAACACTTTAGCTCCATCCACATCATTACAAATGGCAAGATTTCATTCATTTTGATGGCTCAGTAATATTCCTCTGTGTGTGTGTGTGTGTGTGTGTGTGTACACACACCACATATTCTCTATTTATCAGTAGATGAACATTTGGGCTCTTTCCATAATTTGCCTATTGTTGATAATGCTGCTATCAACATTGGGATGTATGTGTCCCTTCAAATCAGTGTTTTTGTATCCTTTGGATAAATACCTAGTAGTACAATTTCTGGGTCACAGGGTAGTTCTATTTTAACTTTTTGAGGAAACTCCATACTGTTTTCTTGAGTGGCTGCACCAGTTTGCATTCACACCAAGAGTGTAAGAAGGTTCTCAAGGGTGCTAAAAATTAGTTCTTAGGAATGAAAATTTTAAATATTATAATGGTTTGTAGCTCTCTAATGGGCCACAGTACAAAAACAGAGATGTACTTTTTTGCGGTGTTAAAATTTCACGTGAAGGGGGTGTGATTTGGGGGAAAATATCTAAAAATTCTCATTAAGAGGGGCGCCTGGGTGGCTTAGTCGGTTAAGTGTCCGACTTTCGCTTAGGTCATGATCTCGCGGTTCGTGGGTTCGAGCCCCGCGTCGGGCTCTGTGCTGACTGCCAGCTCAGAGCCTGGAGCCTATTTCAGAGTCTGT